GTAATATTTATTATATTTTATGTAGATTTAGCCATACGTCTCACACTTCCTCTAAGGGGAAAATTCACTCATACCAGATACCTACGGTATCAAAAGGATTGAGGTCTGGTGGGACTCTTTCCGTGTTATCGAACCCTAGGTGACTTGGTATGTTGGAGTATGTCCCAAAAATTTTCGTACACATCTGGACGTCTCGAGGAGTACAGCTTTCTGTATGGCCTTATAGAGATGTTTATTTAGATCCAATTTTTTCATGTTCTCTAGGAGGTTTTTGGGAATAACACCAATAGTAGATAGAATAATAGGTACTGTCTGGGTACTTTTCATTCTCCATTGTCTCGTGATTTTTATTTCTAGATCTCTGTACTTTCCGATCTTTTTAGTGTATTTAAGACGTAAATTATTGGTGTTGGGTATCGCCACATCAATAAGTGTTGTTTGCCTAGTAAGTTTATTCACTAGTATGAGATCCGGTCTATATGCGCCACTGATTGGTTTGTAAGCACAGTGCGGTCCCAGTATAGTTTGTAGTTGTCATCTTCAAGCATTCAGTCAGGGACGTATTGATAATAAGGAAGATGGTCGGTTTGGAGAAGTCCCAGTTTATCAGCTAGTTCTTGGTGAATAATCTTTTCTACTGAGTCATGGCGTTCTTTATAATCAGTACCGACAAATGCCTGGCAGCCACCGGTAAGATGTTGGATGGTTTCTTGTGCTTGGCATCCATATCGGCATTTGTCATTTTAAACTTGAGGATCTTTAACAATATATTTCAGGTAATTTTTAGTTGGAATAACCTGATCCTGAATCGTAAGTAGGAAACCCTCTGTCTCGAGAAACAACTTTTTTGATGTCAACCAATAGATCGACGCTGTATTGTCGACATATTCTTGGCTGATCTCATTGAGATGTCACCCATGCAGAGGTTTACTCATCCAGGTGCGCATTTTTTCTTGCTGAGTCAGGTGGTTTCTGCGCATTTATTGTTTCCTCAGTTTAAGCGGCGTTATATCATCTATTGCGCAAATTGCTCGATGTAAAGTAGATGTCTCAGGCTGTTGGTACCTGAAAATAAGTTCTTAATTTAGCAATTTGTTCATCCAATTGCTCACCTATATCCATAAGTCCTCTTCATCCTTGATACCGCAGTAATGTGGTTCTCTTTACTGCACTGCGTTTATGCTGTTTTTGCGCCTTCGTGAGAAGTGTTCTTACTTTCCGCTGAAGACACTCTATATCGATTTTTGACCTTTTTTAATACTAAATGAGTAGCTCAGCGCGGAACAGGCGTACGTATTTAATGCCTTAAACAAATTTTTGCTATTGAGATATGACCGATTTAGTTGTCTTATTCTTCGCACGGACTTCGAAGTTAGTTCAGTTTTCATTTGCTTATGGTCAATTTTCCGCGCTTTTTTTTGCCTCGATGTTTTAGCGACCGTGGAAACCATTCATTTCAAATCATTCATATACAACAAATGATTAAGATTCGCTACAATAGTATTGTAGCTATGCTAAACGGAGTAAAGCAGGGCTGTGTTTTATCCCCTATACTATTTAACATTGTACTGGACTCCGCACTAACAAAGGTAAACTCTAATAGAGGAATTTACTGGGGATTAACAAACAGACTGGAAGACCTAGATTACGCTGATGATATATGCCTCCTAGCACATACAAAACAGGACATGCAACTCCAAGTAAACAAAGTACAAGAAGAATCAAAGAAGGTTGGTCTAGAAATAAACACCAACAAAACCAAAGAAATGCGATTTGGTACCAGAAACAACCAACCTATTATGATCAACGACCAGAAAATTGAGAGAGTAACGGAATTTGTATATCTGGGCAGCATAATTGACTGTAATGGGGGTACAGAGCGTGATGTACATGAAAGAATAAATAAGGCTCGCAACGCCTACAACATGCTTAACAACATATGGAAATCCAGAATTTACCCAACTAAAACGAAACTAAAAATCTTCAACACAAATGTAAAAGCTGTATTACTGTATGGCTGCGAAACGTGGAAGATATCAGCACCCATAGTACACCAACTACAAGTTTTCATCAATAGAGCGTTACGAAAAATCCTTCGTATATTTTGGCCTAACCGAATCTCCAATGAAAATTTATGGAACCAAAGCAACCAAGAAAATGTCATAAATCAAATAAGGCGAAGAAAATGGAGATGGCTGGGCCACATACTCCGTAGACCGCCAAATGACATTGCCAGGACAGCGCTGGATTGGAATCCCCAAGGCCGACGGAAAGTAGGCAGACCTAAGGGAACTTGGAGAAGGACAGTACTGGACGAAGGGAGAACAATGGGAAAATCCTGGCTTGAAATCAAAGCACTAGCCAGAAATAGAGTTCGCTGGAGACACTTTGTGGAAGCCCTATGTTCCTCTTAGGAATCTTGGGACTATATATATATATATATATATTATATATATATATATATATATATATATATATATACAATAGTATTGTTATTTTTAATGCTAAGTCCTGAGTCAGTGGAGTTCAGTACCTAAGATAGTAATAGGTTCATCGCAAACAGAACCATAGCAGACTCAACGAGTCCCTCTGAAAAAGGCTCCGGTTAATTATCTTCAGTTTCAATATTGATTTCACCAGGTATTTGAAGGTGAATTTTAGTCTTCCACTCTGCCATTATATGCTTCAAAAAGATCACTAGATTACCATCGTCTTTATATTTTTTCAATATATTTATTTATAAGCCATTCATGCGGCACTGAATCAAAGGCCTTCTTGTAGTTAATGAAGGCAGTAAAAAGCTTCCTTTTTTGGTGTATGCCTGTTTAGAAGTCTGTTAGAGTCGATAATAAGTTGTTCTTTACAACCCATAGAGCCCTTAACGCATCCTTTCTGTTGATACTCTATGATATTGTTTAGAGTATATTTTATTATTATTATTATTTTTATTAAAAGATATTTGTTTCTTAAATATGTAAATTGTTTGACAGTTTCTAAATAAAAAGTGTAATTTGTAATTGTGTAAATTTGTATTTATAAATGTGTAATCTTTACTGATCATTACTCATTACTATGGTTTTAGAAGTAGCCCAGTCTGGTCTATTTAAGTCTGAGCATTAAAAAAAGGTCGAATAATTTTTCGCAAATATCTGAAGCTTTTAAGACATAGGGGGGGGGGGGGTTAGTAGATGACGAATAGATGAAAAAGTACTCGTATTTTTTCCTTGTGTTGTTTTTTAACAATAATTTATGTTCACAATTTGATTTTTTGTCTATAAGTTTTTTTCCTTATATTTTACATAAACAATATTTATATCTTTTTTTTTTCTCAAGAATATCTTTATTTTTCCGTTTTTTAAATTAAAATTGATAAGTAATTTACGGAGATATTTGCAAAAAAAGCAGTTTTTTTGCACTAATCTATAAATTTTATTAATTTTTTTATTAACAAAATAAAATGTTATTAATACTAAGAAGTTATTAATAATAAGCTGTTAATAGTAAGTTTTTATGGTCAATTTCAAATGGACTCAATTTTTCAGAGGTTTCCCATATTTCCCGGCCAGTGAAAACTATGTAATTATTCATATTTCGACGAGCTACCCCAGATTAAAAAAGAGACTTCTAGGTGCAATGGAAGCCGAGATAATGTAATTTTTTCCTACGTGTTTCAATTTGAAGTTGATATCTCGAAAAAAAAATTGGAGCTGAAACAGTTATCCCCTTCACTTTCCTATGTCGATCTTTCGAAAGTACCTTCGTTTCGAAGGGCTGTAAGTTTCGAAAAATTGGATGCATTTTATAGCTATAAAATTCGATATAAAGTATAGATTGTCATTCAAAATTTGTGCCAATTTTACTTCTTAATGTTTATAAAAAATGGAGGTATGATTTTTTTAAAATAGTCCCTAACTTCGTTCCTATTGGTCATAGAAGGATGTTATTTAAATGTGAGTTTTTTTACCAGCTATCCAATGGTTATACGTACAAGTTTGTAGCTTGAAAAATATAGAAGTTATTACAATTGTTTATAAGTAAAAAAACATACCCTTTTTGCAAACGTTTATTTTGTAAATAATTTCAATGAAAACGCAATATGCTTTTAACTTCTGAGATAGTTTAATTCTTAAAGAATCCTATGAAATTTGTTAAATGTGTAAATCATTAATAGAGCAAGTTCAATAGTTTAAATATTTAGCCTCTGGGATAAATAAATGAAATCACTTTTAATTTATTTGACCGATTTAGGGGACATTTCGCACAAATTTAAAAGACGGTAATTTCTCGATGTTCAAATGTTATTATGTTAATAACAAAATTAATAAAAATTATAAATTAGTGGAAAAAAACTGCTTTTTTGCAAATATCTTTGTAAATTATTTATCAATTTTAATTTAAAAAACGAAAAAATTAAGATATTCTTGATATAAAAAAAATGATATAAATATTGTTTATGTAAAATATAAGGGAAAAAACTTATAGCCAAGAAATTAAATTGTGACCATAAATTATTTAAAAAAAAACGCAAGGTGAGTACTTTTTCATCTATTCATCATATAGTAACTCCCACCTATGTCTTAAAAGCTTCAGATATCTGCAAAAAATTTTGGCGTTGAATCGATGATTTTTCATAACCAGAATGGACTAAAATGTTATCGGTATATTACAGAAAAAGGTTTATTTATGCGCATTAATTTTGGAATTATACCTAAAGAGTATAATATTGCTGCACAAAATGTGATTTTTAGTATCAGAAGCTTTTTGAAATCAGCATAGGCTATAAAAATTGCGTCATGTGAGATTAAGATATAGTTGTATGACACAATTTAGGGTAAATACATTGGCAATGCAGCCGCTAGATAACTTAAAATAATTTAATATTCAGTTCTAGATTTTTTTTCTCTCTGAATTTAAAACAACAAGCAAATAAAAAGTACCTTTGATTATTTTTTTTATAAATAGAAAGCTATATGATATTGCAATTATAAAATAATATTTACCAGTAAAATTTCCACTGCTCCTACTATGTACATGGCACCTGCAAGTGTGGTACCAGTGTAGAATAGCATACCCACAGCTCCCCCAAATTCTGGTCCTATGGATCTGGATATCATAAAGTAACTGCCACCTCCAGGAACAACACCATTGGTAGCAATAGCTGACATAGAAATAGCAGTTAACATCGTAACGCAACAACAGCAAAATACTATAAGGAATCCTTGTAAGGCACCCGCTGTACCAACGACCCATGTCAAACGAATAAACAAGATAACACCAAAAATATTCTGGATACAAGGAAGATACACTCCTATTAGGGTTCCCATCCGCGCACCGCCTGCTGCAGGTCTCGCATCGGGGTCATTCGATGCGGGAGGAATCGTGTTCGAATAATTGGCGAGGGAGCTAATGAGGGTCGATATTCTAGGTCGGTCCTCCATTTCTTCAGAGTAAAGGTACAGGTTGGTCTCATACCCTGATACCTTCTCTGAAACGAAATGCTGATCATCTGTTCCATCTCCTGCAAAGAAAATACGAACGAATTAGTAAGTTTAAAATAGTTTGCATCAATATTGTCATAAAAATTATATATATTCACGTATAAAATATTTTAATTTGCACCTTAATTATTCTATAACAACAGAACTAAGAAGGTCACATCCCCTGGTCTCGATATCGTCCCAGCTTCTTTTCTGCAACACCTACCTAACAAAGCTGTAGAAATATTATTAAGAATATATGGAAAACAAATTATGGAAAACAGCTATAACTATTCCCATCTTAAAATCTAATAAGCCACCAAACAAAGCAGATTCTTGTCGTCCTGTATCTCTAACTTGTGTGACGTTTAAGCTTTTAGAAAACAATATAAATAAACGTTTATTGTAGTTTCTGGAAAAAAATAACCAACTAATTAATGAACAATCTGGATTTCGTCCCTTAAGATCGTCTACCGACAATTTCGTAGATATAGAATCATATATTAATAATGCTCTCTGCAACAACCAAAAATATATTGCAATTTATTTTCATATGGCATTTGATCAAAGCATTTGATATTTCTTGGCATCACAAGATAATTTCGACACTGCAATCATGGGGTTATCAAGGAAATATACTTGCTTTTATTAAAAATTTTCTCCTGAATACAAATTTCAAGAGACTGGGATAAGATGAAATGATCTCAAAGCTGGCCCGCTCCGGAGCCGCCGTTCTGCTCAGAATATCGCTGCTGTTGCCAATATGTTGAAGAGGAGCCCGGAAAAAGACGAGGTGTCATGTAATTGGGCATTAGCCGGTATTTCTTACGAAGCATTTTGGTACGAGATTTTAAGATGTTCCTTTACAAAGGGCAGACAGTGCAGTACCTGGCTGTTGACCGCCAAACGCTTTTAACCTTCTCAATGGGGCTCATTTCCATCTTAACGGTTACTTGAATAAACAAATGATTATTTTTGGGGCATCAAAAATCCGTGTATAACCCACGAGGTGCCATTACACTCGCTCAGACTTACTGCGTGGCATGCTGTTTACGCTGGAGGAGTCATCGGACCATTTTTCTTTGAGAACGAAGCAGGTTCAACGACAACTGTGGACAGCGCGCCCTGTAGAGCCAGGATTGTTAAATTCTTCCTTTTTCAATTGGATTAATTGGAACTGGAGAACATGTGATTCCATTAGGATGCTGTAACGGCGTACACTGTTCGAGTCACAACCGATATTCTGAAGGAAGAATTTCCGGGTCGCTTAAACACTCGATTTGGTGATTTGTACTAGTAGACCAGATCACCTAATTTAACAGTTCCAGACTACCTTTTGTTTTTTTTTAAGTGGCGAGTTTACGTCAATAAACTTCACACTCTGGAAGCCCTTAAGGAGAATATACGCCAGGAATGCGAGAACTTGTCGCCCCAAGTTATGGCAAGTGTGAGTGCCATAAAATGCCGATATCATTTTCTCGACTTGATGGAATAAATTCTAATGGATTAAATAAATAAATTTTACAAGCAGAACCAAAGTTTTTTATTAAAAACGTTACAGCAAAAGAACATCGGGTGATTACTTTCACCCCACCTTTTATTTTACCATTGTGAAGAATACAATGTGCTAGCAATGAAAGCTGTGGTAAAAAATCTAGGAAATGAACGTTCCTCGATTCGATTCGATAGCGTCGTTAATTTGTCAGGTTGAATGCAATATCGATTTGAATGACAAATAACATTATAAAGCGGTTATTACGCAGAAACAGCTCCTATTTCCTTTCCGAGTTAGTTTGATGTTTTGAGTGGAAAAAAGGCAATTTAACTAATGTAATAAAAATCGATCTATTTACTTTTTCGATATAACGTGGAATATTTAGAAAAAATGTATATTTTACGCAATTCACATTATGTGTAAACAATCACATACATTGATGAGCGAAAAAAGAAAATATAAGTGATGGATTCGACCGTGACTTGATGAAAGTTCATTTTATGTAAGAATAAAATACTAAAAAGTTTTGTTTTCTAAACTTACATCAAATTTATTTATTATCACTGAAGTTGTTTCGGCAGAGTGCCTTTTTTAAGTCATATATTTTTACTATGTATTTCTTCTTCTTCTTATTGCGTCGTCTCCTTTCGAAGGTTGGCGATCCAAAAAGCAATTGTAGCTTTGGAAACTGCTGCACGAAAGATTTGTGTGGATGAGCAGTCAAACCCTCCCCTCAGGTCTGTCAGCCATGAGCTGAAGGCTTTCTGGCGTCTTCCAACTGATATTTTGTCCTGAACTTTACCTTCCAATATGATTTGAAGTAACTCATATTTTTCACCTCTCACCACATGACCCAAGTATTGTAATTTTCTCTCTTCGATTATGCTGAGTAATTCTTTTTGTTTACTTATGCGCCGAAGTACCTCACTATTGGTAACTTTTTGTATCCATGCAATTCTCAGCATCCGTCTGTATATATACATTTCAAAGGCATCTATTCTTTTTTCTGTTTCAAAGTGCATTGTCCAACTTTCACAGCCATAAAGCAAAACAAAGTGTGTTTAAATGTAAATAGCCTAGGCTGCGGAAAAAAAACAGTGATTTTACACTGTAATCCAGAAATTTATGTAATGTGACCTAATATATTATCGCCAGATCTGCCACGTCACCAACGTACAACTGACTAGTACTCACCCAGATCTGGGCATTTCTCACTTCTTAGCCTTCTGATTGGTCCCTGAAGGTATCCTATTTTCTGATTGGGAGGTTACTGGTCACGCCCACTTTTCACACTCATCAAGGGGACGAAAATAGGATAAAAGAAGGTGCACTTTCTGCAGAAGGCCTCTGCTTGGAAAAAGGGCACTTTCCAAGTAACTGGAAGCATGCGAAGATAATACCCCTCCTAAAACCCAGGAAAGACGGAAGAAGACCGGAAAATTACAGGCCTATTTCTCTCCTTGAAACGATGGGAAAAATACTGGAAAAAATCATCTTCAAGAGACTGACGAAACATACTGAAAGAAGAAGAATTATTCAAGAAGACCAATTCGGATTTAGAAGAGGAAGAAATTGCGAACTACAACTGGCAAGAATAATCAGCGATACGAAGATAAAATTCAACAGGAAACAAAAAACAGGATTAGCCGTACTGGACATAGAAAAAGCATACGACACGGTTTGGAAAAAGGCACTTATCTTCAAAATGGACAGAGCTAGACTTCCACATTATTTAATTAATATTTGTGATATTTATTTATCTAATAGAACTTTTCAAGTTTCAGCTGACCAAAAGATGTCAACAATTCAAGAAATCCAGGAAGGAATGCCTCAGGGCAGCATTTTATCTCCATTACTTTACAATATTTTTGTTTCAGATTTACCTACAGATCATAGAACTTCAACAGCCCTATATGCAGATGATACAGCAGTGTATACATCCGGAAAAGACGACAGAAGAGTTATCAGAAATATCGAAAACCACTTAGAAAAAATCACGGAGTTCACCGAAAAATGGAAGATAAAAATCAATTCATTATGTTCACCCAGGAGATGAGACCACCACCGAACGAGATAACAGTAGGAGGAAACAGAATACAGGCAGCAGAGTCAGTCAAATATCTTGGAGTACACTTCGACAGAAGGCTTAATTTCCGGATGCATGCAGAAAAAACTAAGGTGAAAGGTAATATTGCTAAAAAACTAATACTTTCTTTTGTTCACAGGTCCAGCCCCCTATCGAAGGTCAAGAAAATTCAGTTGTACCAGGCCTACGTGAGGTCGATGATGTTGTATGCAGTCCCAGTATGGAGTTCGCTAGCGGAGACCCACTGGAGGAAATTGGAAACTACAGAGACATCGTGCTACCGGATAATCGAAGGTTCACCATGGGAACAGAGAATCACGAACGCAACCATCAAAGAAAGGCTCCAGTACACACCACTGAGGAAGGTGGCTAAGAACAGGACTAGATACTTCTTCCACCAGGCCACAAGAAGACTCCATAAGACCAGGGATATCCTCGAGAAGAACAGGATCCAGAGGATACATAGACAAACCCACAGACTGATCGACCACCTGATCAGGGTCTAGCCGGATGGTTGCCGGAAAACAGCCAAGCAGGGAAGTAGGTACGATGCCATAAAAAGTACCTACAAAAAAAGACGCGCGTCTGCGTCGCCTCACCGGCCTAGCAACAAGCACGCTCTCTAAAGATTGACCAACAAGTTGTTAACCTTATGCAGGTAACTTGGAACAAGCAAGAGACGTGTGTTCATCCACACCTGCCTAGTCACACACGTCGTCCACTGAGAGAACCTTCGAGACACTCTTAAAGAGGGAAAAACCTTGGCGAACTGACACTAACGCACACATTATTAATAAAAACAAAAACTTGTCTTCGTGTTTCTTATTTCTTCCTTTTTCTTCCTTTTTTGTATATTTACAGTGCACAATGGAATCACAAAGCACTCTTAGATCGTCTGCCTTAGCGGACAGAGCGACTGAAGGCAATCCTCAACCTACCGTCGATTCGCCTCAGCGACAATATAAAGGGCAACCTCAGGAGCAATCCCCCAGTTCATTCAACAAAACATTTTTGATTATTGTTTATTTATGAGCGTTTATAGGTGCAAAATAAGTATTTTTTGAGTTTTTTAAATTTTTTGCTTAAAGTAATTGTTGTAATGGGTACTTTCTGTATAGATTATGAAAGTACCTTTAACATAAGCTCCAACTCCAAGACAAACAAACTGCTTCCTTTCAGACACAACAAAAATATATCTGTTTGTACTTACAGTAATGCATCTATTTCTACTGCTCGTCTCTGCTTACCACAATGACTTCTTATAAATTCTCAAAAAAAAAAAAAATGTTTTCACTGGAACCGGTCTCTCTCGATGTTCAACTCACAATGCCTTTCTTTTCCGTCATTTCATTCCGCAAGCATTTCACCCCCTTCTTCTTTATCCATCTCAAACCAATCCAAACAAACCTCCCCTCTCATCAAACGCATCATCGGTTTCTTAGTCCATTAAATTTTTGGTTTTT